CAATCTCAATAAATGACAGACATAAGACCTTGCTGCAATATTTGAAGCTTACCGTTTTGTTCCTAGGCCAAAACAGACTTTCCTGATCTGCTTTAGCATCAGTCTAAGAGCAGAAAAATTAGGGATTGAATTGTTTAAAATATATAAAAGAGTAGAACCAATGTCTTACTTCTCAAATTGAGTTTTAGGCAATGAAGGTCCTTAAAATTCAATAGAAAGTGAAATGTTCCTTTGTGTATACATCCGTAGATTAACACAATTTACTGTTTGTAGCAAGTCTCCTCATTATAAAAGCATTGGGTTAATATGCATATTGTATGTTACTATGTGTCACACAAACAGGGGAACATATGTTTTAAAAGATCTTCCTTTTCTCCAAGGCTTAAAAATGCACTCTGTACACAGACATCATCAAAGGCATTTGCAGCACTTCAAAAGAATTAGCTCAAGAGGCATAGGAAATGTACCAAATGAACCAAATCACCTAAAATTGGCTAGAGATGGAAACCTACAGTTACAGTCAGAGAAAGGTTTCCTTTTGTGTTGATAAGCTAATCTGTGAGAAGAAAAAAATGCTTCTTTTAGTGAAATCCCCTCTCCAATATTTATTTCCTTTCAAGTTCAGAAAATCATAGAATCATAGAATGGTTTGGGTTGGAAAGGACCTCAAAGATCATCTAGTCCAACCTCCCTGCTGTGGGCAGGGACATCTTTGACTAGATCAGGCTGCCCAAAGCCCCATCCAACCTGGCCTTGAACACTTCCAGGGATAGGACCTCTACAACCTCTCTGGGCAACCTGTTCAGTGTCTCACCACCCTCACAGTGAAGAATGTCTTCCTAATGTCTAATCTAAATTTAGCCTCTTTCAGTTTAAAGCCATTATGTCTTGTCTTATAACAACATGCTCTTGTCAACAGTCCCTCTCCAGATTTCTTGTAGGCCCACTTTAGGTACTGGAAGGCTGCTGTAAGGTCTCCCCAGAGCCTTCTCTTCTCTAGGCTGAACTACCCCAACTCTCTCATCCTGTCTTCATAGGAGAGGTGCTCCAGCCCTTTGAGCATCTTCATGGACCTTCTCTGGACTTGCTCCAACAGCTCCATGCCCTGAAGGCTCTCATGGCAAGACCCGGACCCTTTCCCCAGCAGGACAGGAACCTGCTTGCTCCCAAGAAGGGCTCAGGGACTATACTTGAGCTGGCTGCCTTGCCACATGCATCCCAAATCCCCAGGTGGGGCCTCATCTCAGAGGTGCCACCCAAAGCCAGTCAGCTGTCCATATAGGAGTTGACGTTAGGGCTACAATAATGACATCTGAAAATCTGGGCAAAATCTATACGTTATGTAGTTGTCTGTAACTAGAAGTGAAGTGCTTAGTCTCACAAATGCAGCAATAGCCATCCAAGGGGAATGCTCTTCTTTCAACAAAGAAACGTGCTTCAGAGCAAAGGCATTTAAAGAAAAAAGCCTGCTCATGATTCTGCTGCAGCATCCTTTTTCCTCCAGCAGGCATTTCCTCCAACCAGCCTCTCTCAGAGAGTAACACCACCAGGTTTGTGACAGCTCCTCTGTTTTGTTTTAGCCAAACTCCCCATCACATCCATTTTAGCCTGGCTCCTCAAGAGTGTTTAATGCTCTGAAAAAGCAGTAGGCCCATAAAATGGATATTAATAGAGCACTTAGCACATACATGTTTGTGACTAGCAGCTTGAAGGTTAAGAACCCAAGTAAAACAAAACCTGGAGTAATTCCAGCCTTGAGTCAGGAAGTATTTTAGTATAGAAGTCATGTCATGCACCAAGGGTGCTGTTCCATAATTTGTACCAAGAAATGGGGTTTGGAAATGAACATTACTTAAAACAGAAAAAAAGGAAAAAGTCATGCATCATGATATTAATGAATAATTCAATCCCCACAAGTTCAGAAAGCATAATGCTAAAGTTGCTGTATCATCTCTTCTGAGATCCTTGTAGGCCTTTTACAGGGCAAGGACAGATTAGATTCCGTGTCTGATTGCTCTTGTTCAATTCAGATAGCGTTATCAGTTTCTTTGTTTTGAAAAACATAATAACCTGATGAAGTAGGTTTAGTTTATTGTCATGATCATACTAAATACATCATTTTTCCTTTAAGGATACTTACATTGGAGGGGAAGATCCAGGGATCCCACAGATTTTAACCTTACTTATGGTGAGCAATGTTCCTAAATCAGCTGGCAATAGAGTTGTCAAGTGACACAAGGTAACGGCCATCTTGCTGGCTTCATAGGAAAAATTACCTCCCACTGGTCTCAGGTGGGTACCAGAGTTGGGGGAATGGGACATGAACTCCTTCCCCGGTGTGATGTGGCTGTGATAACACACCTATGTAGCTCCTCTACCCTGCCTTTTGTCTTCATGCCAGAACTGCAAACAACCCTCTTAAGCAAGATCTGGTCTTGTTCCAGTTGGAAACCATTTTTATTTTTATATTCCTTCATATGAAGAAAATTAGTTCTCACAACAGAGTAGTCTTTTTTTTTAAAAGATTTATGACAACATGAAATGTATTTTGTTTCTTCTAATTTGCCTTGTTGCTAAAATGCTATTTTCCTCATTAAAAATTATGACATTTGGAAAAAAGTATATGCAGGAATGAACAGCATGTGGGATGTCAGCCTTGCATTTCACTGATAAAGAACTGCTGGGACAAGGGAGCGCAACACCGAGTCCTGCCCTGCAGAGAAACCCGCTGAGAGCAAGCAGTTGGCAGCAAAACCCTCGCCTGCCATTCAGCCCCTCTGTATCACCATCCCAGGCCACCTCACCATCCCGCTCTGGGGTTCTGTGTTTATTTTCAATGCTAGCAAAAATGATCAAGACATTTCATCAGGGCAAAATGCAACACTTCTTCTCCCAAAGACTGCTTAGGGAAGAAAGGAAGCATCACTTAATAACTATAGTTATGAAGAAAAGACAGAAAACCATGGACTGATGGAAAAACCCTAGATTAAGGCTTGGGCAGGGATGTGCCAATTCCAGGAAGTAAAGAAGTAGGTAGAAGGTGGCTGGGCTCTGGCAGGCATGTGCCGAGCTAGAAACCACATCATGGTGTGCCACCAGCAGTATTCCTGTATCACCTCTCAGTCTTCTCTTTTCTCTCACTAAATCCTGACAGTTCCTCAGATTCAGATGCATTGCCATTTACAGCCTATTAATGTATCATCTCTAGAAATATTGTTTGTTTCTCTAGTTGTTCTCTATTACTTAATATACACCACCCTCTCCACCCAGTTAGGTCTTTTCTCTAATTAGGCATGTGTTTTCCTAATTTTATTTCTCAGTGATGAAATAATGACATTATATTTTCTGAAGATTCAGGTTGTTCTCTGAATTTGGGTGTCATAACAATTTGAGAGGAGCTCTGAGTCATGATTTAATAATGGGAAGAAAATAGTAAGTACTGTGCCTAAGGGAAAGGCATAACAGTAGCCATTATCTGGAGCTGATGGCAGCTGAACTCTGATTAGGAACAAGACTTGTTTTTACAAGTGTGATCACCGGAATGCGACGAGGGAAACAGCCAAATCTCTGTGCTTTGATGTGTCCAGAAGAAGAATGTGTACCTTTCCAGGTGACTTAGGTTAGTCAAAGACAAGTCCCTGGCTCAGCTGGAGGGACAATCTGGTAATGGCGCCTTGAAGCAGTACTGTATCACCTCGTGATCCTTTCTGGCCTTGGTTTCCATACTTTTTCTAATTTAATGGGAACAGTGGAAGTATTCTTCATTGCGCATGAACAGCTGTACGTTTAGTGAGGATTTAGCATGATGTTTCCCTGAGTCTGGTGGGGAGAATTTTCTGATTATCGAACTGTGAACTGTCAGTGGCATAATTTTCCTAAGCACTCGGGGAGCAGTGTTCTTACAGTGCTTACATGCCTGGAGATGCAGAGAGCACTGCCCATACCTACTAGTGCCAAAAGTGGTTAGGAAACAAATGACTGATTTCCAGAACTGGATAATTTGGAAATACCGCAATGTGCCTTTCTGCATCTTTAAGCATATCTTTTAAAGCCTGATGCCAAGTGACTTCAGCACCTAATCCTGCTCTCAAAAGCATGTCAATCCATTAGGAATTGCTCAGGGACAATGAAAATGGGACTGTTAGGCAAAGCCTTCAACCCCGATGGCTGTCCAGGACTAGTGGTTTCAGCTTGCTGTAACTCATTGGGCTGCCAGCAGCAGCAGGTCAGAAGATGCCCCAGTGGCAGCTGAGGTGCCTCTGCTGCAGGGAGGGACAAGGAGAGACAAGGCCCTACTCCATCCATCAGGCACCCAGACAGCAAGCTGCCCTTGCTCTCGAGCCCCAGCCAGCTCCCACTGGAGCTCTTCTAAAAGACTTGGATGCTTCTTAACAATAAAGTTAAACCCTTCACTCATTCAGATGCCTTTCATTCTTTATTTTTCCTTAACTCACCTTCTATGAAAACACCAGTGACAGCCACTGCTAGTTTTTCTTGCACCAGATTTGGCTCAAAGTTAGGCGTGTGCTCTGTTTGTTTTGTATGCAGAACAAATAGCAAGCTTAGCTGGGGAAAGGACCCACAGTAGTTACCTGACCACATAAACCACAGTAACATCAATGAATCATTCAATCAACTAATAATAGCAGGTAAGAAAAAGCCAGGAAGACCCACTCACTCCTATGTGTTCTGCAAAATGAAAAGCTAATTCATAAAAACTAGTCTTTGGAATTGCGTCCCATGTTCCTGAAATCTCTAAATGCTATAAAAATCATGCATGGTAAAATGACTCATCTTTGAAAGGAAAATGCTCAATTTAAACCAAAGAACTCTTGACTTTTTTTTCTTAAAGATAAGCAATAATTTATTTCTCTTTCATCTTCACAATTATCACATACTGCCCAGCTACATGACCAATGCCACTACATAACACAGGAGAATTGCCCACCTACACTTCACTTGGACAAATACAATTGCAATTTACAGATTAAATGTACTGTACAATGTGTTGTTGGAAAAATGTCATTCTTATCTATATGATGGGATGTGGCATATGATTTATAAACAGATGCACTCTGAGATGTAAAACGTTAAAACTTGTTAAGCCAAGGATACAGTATAAAGCATTTTGTTTTGGTATTGTATTGTTACTAAAGTAGAAAAAAGAAAACTAGAGAAATAAATCCAGATCTTAACTTACAGGATATGTATTAGGTTAAGAAATTAATTGGCTTCTCCACTTTTTTTTTGTTTTGCTTTTCTTTTTCTTTTTTTTTTTCTACAAATGAATAATATGAATATATTGCAGGATACAGAAAGACTGCCAGATAAAGAAGGTACCGTTATATGAAAAACAAATGAAAAATTACCAGGTAATTTTGCTTACAAAAAAGGTCAAACTATAAACAGTCACAAAATATATAAAAATGCCACATTGAACGAGGCAATCGTACTCTACCTAAACTGGTAGTATACTCTCTGAAAGAAGTTGCGTTCATACAGTAGTAACTGATAAAAAGGCATTGTGCACTCTTGTGCCGTCCGGAGATTTAGCACCGTGTGTCATCAGTTCTTGGATTGTCATCCAGTTGTCCAAGATTTTCTTGTTTCTCTTTTTCATCATCTTTTTGTGACTCAGTTCAATAATGTTAATTTCCTTTTTGCCCTCGCTGCCACTCTGCGGACTTTCCTTAAGACACTCCAGCCTGCTTCTCATCATGAACTCCCGCCGCCTCCTCTGCTCCTTAGCTCGCACCAAATGCTGCTTCCGCTCTTCTTTGCTCCAGTAGCGACCCATCTTCATCTCACTCATCGTATCATCATCTGTCGTCATCCCGCTCCTCTCTTCTTTAATTTTTAAGGCACGTTCCTTCAGGATTCTGTCTCGAACTGGTCTCTTTGTGATGTACCTCGTCCCATCACTCCTTATTTTCACTTTCCATTCCATCTTCGGCTCCGCACACTTCTGCGAGTCTTTGCACATGCTCACCAGGCTGAGCTGGCTTTGGGCGTACTCCACAGCAGACTTCTGCTGGATCAGTTGCATATAACTTTGATAATGTTTTGCATGAGCAGGTATATTCCCGTACCTGTAAGAAGAGCTGTGATATGGAGACAGGTAGGGAATATGCTCACTGCTCTGCTTTTCCTGGTCTGTGAATTTGCTGCTTTCTGATGCCAGCACTGCATCCTCAGCAGCACTGTTTTGCTCAGTGGGTTTGCTTTTGGCTGAGGTTGTCTCCCTGTTGGTTTGTCCTGAGGATGACTGATTAGCCACAATCGTGCTCCTCAGGTTTTTCCTGTTGGTGATGCTAATCATTCTCTGAAGAGAGTTATCGGGGGATCGCTCCACTGTCAGTGGAGTGCTCCTGCAACTTTCGGCTGTGTTGTAGGCGCTGGAGCTGTCCTTGTCAGACTTCTCAGGGTGCTCCATGATGTCATCCAGTTTGCCTCTTTGTACATCTATGCTGGTGTTATAATTCCTGAACCCTTCGTCATGTAAAGCCCAAATGTCTCCATACTGATCCCTCACCTTTTGGAGCCGGTGAGCTTGCATAATGTTCTGACATTCAAGTTCAATGTTCCTCAGCTCCTCATTGAGTAGCTGCAGCTCATGCTCCACTCCATCTTGCTCTCTTCTGTTGCACTCTATTGTGCTGCTCGAGTAATACAGGTCGTACTCCCCGTGGTTTCGAATCTTGCACTTCAGTTCCAACAGCTGCCGAAACCTTTCACATTCCTCCTCTGGGTTTCCTATGAAATCAGATTCAATGTATTCCCCAGACATAAAGCTTTCATTACACTGGAGCTCAACGCTTCCTAACGTATCTTGGCTGTGGCCCAGCTCCCGTTTGCTCTGCAGGGTAGCGCTGTTCTGCTCCTCAGGTGCATTTTCTTGCTCTGAGCTCTCATCATTGCGCAGACTTTCATCTGTAGGTCCCACCCCACTGTCCTTCTCATGATTGTTGGACGATGAGGTTGCAGTGTCTGTAGTGCCATCCTCCTCTTCATGTTTCTTTGGCTAAAAAAATGAGCAAACCAAAATGATTATCAAATGTAGACCATATTACATGAGAATATTTTCCAGCTCTGTTTTGCTTAAACAGCTGGGATCTGATTTAAACTAAATTAAAACAGATCACTAAACAGCAGTCCTACTGCTCATAGCTTTTAAACATTTCTGAGAGTCATGCTGTGGTGGCCATACTGAGTGAAGTAGATGAATTACAGCACTAGCGACCTATCTTCTAAAGTCCGGAAAGAAATATTTCCCTTTCTAGCTAAGCCATCTCTTTGCAGTGCTTAAAGATAATGATCACCAGATGGTACACTGGTTTTGATTCTGGATTATGGCCAGAGACTGGTGGAGCTGAAATCTTTTCAAACTTGGGAAAAAGCTTCAGTACTGGTATCACTTCAAAAAGATAAAGCAAGCAGCCAATCAAACTATGAGTAGTACAATCTAAGAGGGTGCAAAAAGACTACTGTCATCAGTGGGGTTTTTTTGTTGTTTCTTTTTTTAACCAGTGAACTCCTTGTTTGCTCCATGGAGATGGGCAGGGTTGCAGCCTGCAGAGGGCTAGCCTGTTCCACTATACCCTCTACTGCCATCTGTAACATTTCTTGTTTTCAGTAGTCTTTTTCTGAAAGACCGTTCATTTTTGTCCTGATTTTGGCTAGGATAGAGTTAATTTTCTTCCTAGTAGATGGTATACTGCTGTGTTTTGCATTTAGGATGAGAATAATGTTGATAACACACTGATATTTTGGTTGTTGCTAGGCAATGTTTACACCAAGTCAAGGACTTTTCAACATGCTGCCCTGCCAGTGAGGAGGCTGGAGGTGCACAAGAAGCTGGGAGGGAACACGGCCAGGACAGCTGACTCAAACTGGCCAATAAGGTATTCCATACCATATTATGTCATGTTCCATATATAACTTGGGGGAAGCTGGCCAGGGATGCAACCGCGGCTCGGGAACTAGCTGGGCATTGGCGGTGTGCGGGTGGTGAGCAATTGTGCTGTGCATCTCTTGTTTTGTGTATTCTTCTATCATTATTATTATTGTTATTATTGCCTTTCTTTTCTGTCATATTAAACTGCCTTTATCTCAACCCATGAGTTTTACCTTTTTTTTCCAATTCTCACCCCCATCCCACTGGGCAGGGGCGGAGGGTGTGAGCGAACGGCTGTGTGGTTGTTGTAGCTGCCTGCCAGGTTAAACTACAACAATTTTGAATTCTAGGATTTTGCTCAAGTAGACCCCTCTCCGTCACATCCCTGGAGACCATTTTTGTTCCCCAGTTGGAGTTTATGTTTCTTAGAAATAGAAACAGCCTTTTACCATTAAGCGTAGAACAACACTGAGTGCTCGCCATGGGCATAATGTCAAGCTTTTAGGCTGTTGATTTTGAATTCACACTCCACTCATTGTACCTAACCTATTTATATTCTCAACCTATTTATATTCTCAAAGAATGTGAGATAATACCTCTCTGAAGAGATAGACACTTTTTATTTTTCGTACTGGATAAGCAAAGAATTCCCCCCTATTATTTCCCTTACAGGGCAATCATGCCAAGTGCAATTTATATGGCCTGTTCGCCAAACATCTAAGTGTATACAGTACCAACCAAACACCGTTTCTCTTTTAGGAGGTATAATTGCATAATTATGTATAATGGTAGTAATAATCAAGGGACAAAAAAAGTACAGTGCACCCAGTGAAAGGAAACAAACTCAAAGAGGCCACTGTCATAATTCCCTTTATCTCTACTTTGACAGACAGTAAAACAGGATGAAAATTTGTCTCCTATTTATCCTTTCTCTTCTCTTCATGTGCACCTTGTGATCACACACCCTTCAGCTGGTTTCCTTTCTTCAATTGTTAGGAAAAAATAATGGCCTAGTCTCAGAAAAACAAAAATAACCTCCACCTCCCAAATGCAATCTAATAGTGGAATAAAATAAATATCGAAAATTCAGTTTCTGTGACAGACCAGTTAAAAATTTCTGAAAACATATTTTAGCAATTTGTTTTCAGACAAGATCTGCAAAGCAAAACTTATCTTTAAAATCATAGCATACATTTTGCACTCATCATTTTGCTCATACAATGTGCAGCTGATAACAAAATGCACAATAAATGTATAATTCACATGTAGCTTTGGCAGCCACACTGGCAATGTGCCAATTACTATCTCCCACTCTCCCCAAATGGGGATAAACTGTCCCCTTGAATTTAAACGTCATGGGACAGAATGTATTCAGTGTTATTCAAGGGATTCAAAGGTTCAATGTTTCTTGATGTTGTAGGGTCAGAATTTTCTAGAAAATAGATTTTGAAACTGCAAGGGACAAAGGCAGAGTTTCATGGAAATTCTGCAAGTTTTAAAAATGCAGTAGTACGTATTTTCCCCATGTGAGATCCTCTCAGGTCCTTCTACTTATCCACTTAAAAAACAAGGGTATCTTGTTGACATAGGAAGAAGCAATATGAAGAGTAGTACCAATAACACTCTAAATAACTATTGTAGAATTGTTCTATAATTATAATTTATCTACTCTTTGTTTCCTCAGCTTATGCATTGTTGTGAAGGTGTATAAAGTATAATGGAAGATTTTTTTATTAAGGCTTTTGTTATATTTTTCTGAAATGGCTGCAACACTTTAGTTCCATTTTCAGGAGTAACTGCAATGTCTTCCCACATGACCTGCTTTTTAAGAGTTCCAAAACATCCTATTTTACACAGAGAAAAAAACCCCAATGTCTAGAGAATTCTTCCTGAAAACCACGAGTAAACAGAAAGAAGAGCACTCCAACCAGCCAAGCAGCCAGGGCATTCACCAAGAATGCTGGAGATTCAGGTTTAATTTTGTATTTTTCTAGATTACCTAGAGTGTCGCTACACAAGCTATTCTGGTCCCTTCTCATCTGCTTTGGAGCTGCTCCAGCTTGTATTGACCTCCTGTGCCCTCAAACTTTTCAGCAGAGAAGTGATTCCAATCTGGGTCACCTACACTGCACCCCTGCCACTGCAATGTGTAACCCATGTTTCTCACTGCTCTGGAAAATATTTAACTACTGACAGGAGTGAGAACCAGACACTGGGAGGGCTGTGCTGCAGAACAGCCAAGAATTTGGGTGCCTGACCCAAATGCGGGCTCCATTCACATTAGAAAATGAGGAGGGCCAGGATTTGCTCTCCGACCCTGAGGGTGAGTGACATAGCACAACTTGCATCCATATGACTAAACCCATCTTACTCCCTAAGCAGGGTGGATTATCCATACTGTGTTAGCACAGTTAGACAGCTTACAAGAGTTGAGCTCCATGATGCTTCCTCTGATGTTTCCAGCATGGTGCCATACCACCAAAGCATATATTTGAGCACTTCTGAAAAAAATCCCTTTACATGTCTATTTGTATAGGTGTTGAAACAGATTTTACAGTTTGGACCCACGCACTTTCAGAATTAGTGGCTCTTGCTTTCTACACCACTTTTATCAACAATTTAAACTTTGCTCCTTCAACTTCAACAAGGAGTTGGACTCGATGAGCCTTATGGGTCCCTTCCAACTCAGGATATCCCATGATCCTATGATCCTATGAACTTCCACTTTATTTAGACTGACTGAATATAATACACTGCCACCTACTCAAGTTACACTATCCATAATTAACACACACATACACACAAAAGATGTAAAAAAAGTAAACCCCATCTTTCCAGTCTAACAGAAATCAGATGGGTGGGATTGATTTGACCAAATGTAAATGTCTATAGTACAGGCACCTGAATGACAGGTAGTCACTTTGGGTTCCCCTCCCTGTCAGGAAGAAACAAGTGCCTGTACAATCAGATTCTTCTCAACCTAAAGCAGACATCCATATAACATTAAATCTTTCCCCAGTATGTGGATACTTGCAGCTAGTTCAATTAAGAAAATAGAAAGCAATACAGATATTTATTGTACTGCATGTTTTCGAGATGTATTTTAAAAAAAATCTTCTGTAACTCAAGTAAGATAGCCCCTGGCATTTCTGTCCTGGACTTGTCATGCTTGCCAGAGCTTTTTAAAAAAAATCTTCTGTAACTCAAGTAAGGTAGCCCCTGGCATTTCGTCCTGGACTTGTCATGCTTGCCAGAGCCCCTAAACATGTGCAGACTGAGCAGTCTTTTACAACATGAGATTATTTTAATTTTATTTTGAAACGCAGCAAGCCTAATTCCAGGTTAAGTCCCTTCCGAAAAACAAGAGACAGTCTCCAATTGTCAGTGCATTTCTTTTGTCAATGTTATCTATCATCTATTCCAAACAAAGTGTTTGTTTTCAAACATATGTTGTCAATCTCTTCTACAAATACTTCTGTTTGAAATACCAAAGGGCTCCTTAGGCCTTATCTTTGCAGTGAGAACTCAGATAATGAGAAGGCGAACCTGGCGGTGCGTACAATCAAGCAATAAATGAACCTCAAAAGATTCTGCATTTCAGCTCCAGCAAGCATTCATGCCTATAAAATGGATAATCTTGCAGGAATTCAGGCACTGTTCTATTCTCATTTTACAACTTGTATATTGGGACTCAAGACCCAGGCTGCTACTAAAGTTTGAAGGCAGTGAGATTCAGTCGAAGGTTTTAATAAACGTAGCTGCTGGCCCCTCTGGTCAGTCTCTGACAGTGAGAGGGAGACTGACCGCAGGGAGAGGAATTTCCAGTGGCAGGCTGGCAGGCTAACCATGAGGTACTCCAGGCACGAGGGGAAAATGGGATTGATTTCAGTGGTGCACTAAAAGGGAAAATGCTCTTCTGCAAACAATGCTGTTCTTTTAAAACAGGCCTCACTCAAAAAAGAATATTCCCCAGATATTTTCACTGCATTTCAGCTTTGAATGAACTCAAATAATTTTTTTGTATCCAATTCTTTCTCTTCTTAATAGGTTTTGATATATTCCATGATACCGATAAGAATTTCTGCATGGCAAATGTATGGTATTCTTCTGAAAGTTATCTCTGCTGCACAATGAACCACGATGTTGTAAAGGGGAAGGAATACAATGAGTTATCAAAATGGAGAATTACATCTTTCCTTGACTTTTATTGGACTATTCTATACAGAGAAGATACAATTCTTGATTAAATTCTATAGAGTGGCTCAAAAACATACAGAAAAGACACAACTATCTACTTAATTCTTCTATTACAAACTGTACCAGATTTTTCTCTGACAGCTCATACTAAATGTTAAAATGGCATTCTGTAAAACAGACTTGTATTTGGAAGGACATTCTGCTATACTGTGTATTCATTCCTGCAGCTCACAAGACTCATGACTACAGATAATTATGAAGCCAGAGGACTGTGTTTTGGTTCACAGAAATCAAGGCTGGCATTAGAGCAAAATCTCCATGGCCAGCCGGGGAGCTTGAAGATACTCAGCTTGGCCACTGGCAGTTGCAATGAGAGCAGCTTCATTGCTCTGATGGATTGTGTGATTCACCCCAGGAAACTGCTAGGTTTCCCAGCCTAACAAGGAGTGAAGAACCAGTTTTCCGACTTGCCGAGTCACTACATTGAGTCTAGAGAGACAGCAGCTGTCACAGATTACTGATGGTCCATTACACACCAAGCTGCATTTGGTTGATTCGATTACTCATCAGAAGGGCAAAGTAATGTCTAGCTGTCCTAGAATTACTTCAAGCAACCCAACGTCAGGCACCGACAGAGCACAAGTGACCATAATTTTTTCAAGTGTAGATCTCTTCTACAGTAATATAAAATCTCAATAGGGAACCCCCCCACCCTCCTTAGTGTAAGATCCCAATGAGGAATAAGCAATCTCAATGGCTTCTGTTAAACCACTTCACAGAACACCACTCTTCAATAATTAACACTATCCACAACTTGCATTCAGTGAGAAAGCCAAAGCTTGACAAGAACTTGGGAGTGGAATGTCACAACTGTGAAGTCATTTCAGAGGCCCCAACACATCGTGTGAGGGGCTAGTGGGGGTTTGAGTGAAAATGTCACTGTGCAAAGGAAATTGCGTTGTGAAGAACAAGTGTTCCTTCTGACGGGAAATCTTTTGCTATCCAAGATAAAATTTGTGGTTAAAAAAATAAACAAGATGCCAAATATCAGTTCAAAGTAGCTAGCAGTGCAGTAGTTAGCACATTTAACCTGGGAAACTGAGGCTTGGATCGCTGCCTGGAAAAGAGGGTCATAACTAAAAGGCCACTATAAATCCTGTTGCAAGACTCCCTTCACCTCTGCCCCTGGAGTTCTTCCACTTTGTGTAAATAATTAAATGCTTCTAAGATCAAGGATTTGTAATCTGATCTATCATATTCCAGATAATTGACTTAATTATTCTGCCAGTGTCTCTGTCCCAATGAATAGTTAATTTATGTACAATGAATAGCTTTAATAGGAGCTATCACCTAGTCAATAGCCCAGCATCAAGGCTGGAGGGGAGGTGAGGAGGAAACAGGCTAGATGTACATTCAGGCCCCCACTGTGGAGCAGGCGGTGAGGTATGTGAAGCCATGTTTCCTGTTAGCCAAATAAGGTCCTTGGTTTCCAGAGGAAGGAAGGCTCTCACAGTCTTTCTCCCTCTCTTTACTTCAAAGAAAAATGCCTCAGGCTCTGCTTTTGAGCAATTCAGAATGGGGAAAAAATTGTAAGTCACAAATTTCTGTGGGTGGAAAAACAGTCTCTCCCCAGCTACACATACACAGAAGCCAGAAAATGAAGTTGGATTTTATTTTCTTGGCTCCACACAGGTGTGCATGCTGAGAGACCATCCAGCTCAGGTGTGGATAAGGTCACTTACGCCTTCCACAATAAAGTACAGCTGAGAAGACCCATCCCTTGATGAAACTGTATGGCTGGGGGTGCATATGCATCTTTGCCATAGTCACACTGCCTACAGCACATATGAGCAGGTAAAAGTCGGGATAGCAGCAAGCTGAGACTATGCTAACAATATGCTTATTTGTCTCCATTAACAAAACAAATGCCAAGCTGTGTGCTGTCAGTATAAGAAAAATACACTTGTATTACCAAAACACCTGTTGTTTATTTTAAACTCCTCTTCCATCTTGTTTTGCAAGCTCTCTGGTGCAAGGGCTGGCTCATGCCTCACATCATACATACAAGAGGGACATCTATCTCAACTTGGAGCTCTAGGTGCCACACTGATACAATTCATTAAAAAAAAAACAACTGGCAACAAATATCAACATAAACCCCAAACACTTCAGAATTAAAGAAGGAAAGCAATATTATTCTGAGAGTTCAGAGAAAGTGAGAAATCTGCATACTTATCACAGCCTCCTAAATTGTTTGCTAACTTGTGATACTGGGCCTAAGCATCTATTGTTCTCCTTTTCCTTACCTACAGCATGTTGGAGTTCACAGCATTTTAGAGACAAAATTCTATCAAAGCCTTTGACTCCATATAATAGCATAACATTTCATTCTCTATTTATAAAAACGTATACCTAGCAAAATTTCAAATGATACATCTAGTAGCAGTCCTACCTGCTCCACCTCGTTGGCTGTGTACTGCATTGCTTCATTATGCTGCTCTTCTAACATTTCCAAGTTTAACTCCTCTAAGAATTCATTCCTTTCATCATCCAGCCACCCTTCTTCCAGCTGCAAAGAATACATCAGTACATTATATTATGTTAGCAAGGACACATGCTAAAACAGGGTAAACCCAAATGGCAATGCTTGACTAGTTCTTTTTCTCCTAATGATTCTCTTCAGAAAGCCAGGCGGTAGGAGTTCACATCTCAAAAACAGAAGAAAAAGAAGGATTAAAAAAATGGGACTCATGCCTTTTATCCTTTCTTGAAACAGTATGACTGATTTTCTCTCATAATGAAGGAGACTGCACAGCATAGACATTACTTCCTTTCAAAAGGAATGAAAGGCGCAGTGCATAATCCTGACGCTGTCATGTTCATTACCACTGAGAGCCCCCACGCTGAAAGAGCGGCAACGTTACTAATAGGGCCAGGAGGCAACCGGGCTCTTTCCTCTAACAACCTCTGTCCCAGCGCTGTGCCCTGCTGTCGCCATCTCAATAGAAACCTTATGTTGCATTTCTGTCACCGTTTTCCCATTGATCGTCCAGGTAAACAAACAAACAGAGGAGGGTGACAGAAAGATGCCATGACTTGAAGGGAGGTTATTTTTGTTCTTGCAGTGTGCCTAGAAGCAAGGCTTATCCATTTATTTGGTTTTTTTCCCCAAGCGTAAAATAATCCTTTGACATTTGGTGAAGACAGTGTTGCTAAAGGACAGGAGAGGATGCTATGTTTTCTGTCAAGTGGATATATCCTCCCTTTGCACCTACTTTGCACCCTTCACATCTTTCTAAACTGATAAAACAGGCACCCCATGCCTAAAATGCTCTTCCTCCCATTTTGCTCATTGTGCACATGTGCACGTGGCACACATCCATTTGTATTTGTAATCCCTTGCCAGATGGCACGCTGCATTGAAAAGCAAAATATTGGTCAGTGGCACCCCTGGCTATGACAACAGGATCGTAGCCGATAGAAACATTGTTTTGTCACTGATGAAGGAACGAGAGGAAGAAGGTGACAAAATATGCTAAAAGGTAGAAGTCTCAGTATTAGACAATTACAAAAGTACCAACTATTCATGTCTCGAGACAGCAACAGCAAAGTAACACAGACCAACACCTACAGCAGAAGAAGCACCACTGCCTCAAAGCCAGGAGACCTCTGGCCACAGATGCCCATCAGAAAAGTTACACCAAACCAGCAAGTAGTAGTTCAAAGCTACCCAAGGAGTGATCAATGCTGTGTGTTACTTCTAGCTGAATACTGCCAGGAAACCACTGTTTCCTTCACAAACACTGACGTGTTTTTGCTCATGCCAATGAACTCTTCCTATAAAGAACATCAGCATTTCACCATTTTCCTTGGAAAAAACAGCCTTTAACAGTTTGGGATTAGAAGGAGGCTTTTTTCCTTGAGGCCATGTAATTTTTAAGTTTGTCCTTAATGGGACTTTGAAACCACTCTCTGAAACATCTGCTACTGGCCACTAGTATTGTTTACTTGTCTTGTTTGCTTTTTTTTTCCTCCAAGGAAAGCATGAACAGAGTCTTCCTCTACCATAAAGGATGCAGTTGAATTTCCCTCATTTGAGGAACTTGCAGAGATTAAAAATCTGGAGGACAAAATCTGTCTCCCATAACATCCTGATAACCAAGCTTAGGAAGCGTGGGTTAGATGAGTGCACAGAGAGGTGGACTGAGAACTGGCTGAACAGCGGGGCTCAGAGGCTGTGATAAGCAGCGCAGAG